TTGTTAACCGCTCAACACAGAATAGCCGCATGTGCGCACTCCCTCAAAATGTTTGGAGAAAATATCCTTGTATTCTTCATACTATAAAATAATGCCACGGAATTCTAAGCAAATCTTGTCTGCTAAATGAACTAGTGTAGCCCACAGCCATATGGCATAGCCAGATCAGGACCTAACATAAGGACAACTCAGAGTATGCTATTCTGTTCTTCTGAAATAGACTACATTTTCTTCGTATCATGCTTCTTTAGACCTGTCTAAAATAAATAATGGATTTATTGTGACGGTGTAGGCTATATTACATGGATTTATTAGACTAAAATGTAGATGTTCCAAAGGTCTGCATCAGTGGCTTGTAGGCTATGTGTATAAGCCAGGAGATGCTAAATGTGTTTATGTTAATTAACGGTCAATTACCGTGAGACCGACAGTTATTTGCTTGACAATCACCGGCTGACGACATTTCGTGACCGCCACAGCCCTAGGTGTGTGTGGGTACACGCCATTAAGTGACGTGTGTATGTGTGTGTATGTGCGCATGTGTGATGTGTGTATGTGTGATGTGTGTGTGTGTTAGTCCGAGCAGCGCTGGCACTTTTGTGGGTGCTCACTGGGCTGCTATGTCTCTGGCACATTATGTAAATGTTACACAATGACTTCTACCCGCCGAACAAGAGGCTCTTATCTGACTAAATGAAACGTTAGAATGGCACCCAGGCAAAGATCAGTGGCTAGGAAAAGGTTGCCGGCCCTTGGACAGAGAGTTAGCATACCCTGTTCTTTCAGGGAGGTGGTGTTTGAGGTCCTTAATTATGTTGTTTTTCTCACTCCCAAAGGAGAGGTTTAGTGAGTCCAACTAGTGCCCACGATCCAGCAACTACCCTTTCACAGAGAGAGACGGAATGGCTTTTCACACTACTGAGCCCAACCGAGCCGAACCAAGCTGTACTGGCCTGGTTAATCATTCGCCGTTGTTGCTGGAACCGCGCTGAAAAGGACAATGTGAAGAAAAACATCAGAACCAGCACGGTTTGGTTCTGGTCGGCACGGTTTGGTTCTGGTTAGCACGGTTTGGCTCAGTACTATGAAAAGGGTACTAGTGCCCAAGATCCAGCAACTGCCCTTCCTTATTGGATGGCCACAGAGAGAGACCTAGAGAGCCAGGCACAGAGAGAGACCAAGAGAGCCAAGCATAGAGAGAGACCAAGAGAGCCAGGCATTGAGAGAGACCAAGAGAGCCAAGCATAGAGAGATACCAAGAGAGCCAGGCACAGAGAGAGACCTAGAGAGCCAGGCACAGAGAGAGACCAAGAGAGCCAGGCATTGAGAGAGACCAAGAGAGCTAAGCATAGAGAGAGACCAAGAGAGCCAGGCACAGAGAGAGACCAAGAGAGCCAGGCACAGAGAGAGACCTAGAGAGCCAGGCACAGAGAGAGACCAGGAGAGCCAAGCATAGAGAGAGACCTAGAGAGCCAAGCATAGAGAGAGACCTAGAGAGCCAAGCATAGAGAGAGACCAAGAGAGCCAGGCACAGAGAGACCAAGAGAGCCAAGCATAGAGAGAGACCAAGAGAGCCAGGCACAGAGAGATACCAAGAGAGCCAAGCATAGAGAGACACCAAGAGAGCCAGGCACAGAGAGAGACCAGGAGAGCCAAGCATAGAGAGAGACCAAGAGAGCCAGACACAGAGAGATACCAAGAGAGCCAAGCATAGAGAGAGACCAAGAGAGCCAAGCATAGAGAGAGACCAAGAGAGCCAGGCACAGAGAGAGACCAAGAGAGCCAGGCACAGAGAGAGACGAAGAGAGCCAGGCACAGAGAGAGACCAGGAGAGCCAGGCACAGAGAGAGACCAAGAGAGCCAGGCACAGAGAGAGACCAAGAGAGCCAGGCACAGAGAGAGACCAGGAGAGCCAGGCACAGAGAGAGACCAGGAGAGCCAGGCACAGAGAGAGACCAAGAGAGCCAGGCACAGAGAGAGACCAAGAGAGCCAGGCACAGAGAAGGGCAGAGATACGGGCGGAGAGAGAGAAAGGGCGTGCTAGAGAGAAAGGTAGAGACTGACAGTTTAGCAGAAGCTTAGTATGCCAGCTTTGTGTTACCTGTAGGCTAACTTCTGTATCTTTGAATCTGCATCTACATATCCATAATCTACATATCCATAATCTACATATCCATAATCTACAAATCCATAATCTACATATCTATAATCTACATATCTATAATCTACATATCCTTAATCAACATATCTATAATCTACATATCTATTTTTCTTCATCTGTTCAACATGTCTGCGGAAGGAATAGAACGTCTACATGGTCACAGCATGAGAGTAATATGTTACCATTGTTTTCTTACCTTGCACACATTGTGATCCATGTATTGGTTGAAAAGAGCCATTTATAATCACACTCCACAATAATATTATACATATTATTACATATTTTTTTCTGCAGTACAAAGGACCTTGTCATAAAAAAGATTGCAGTCAGAGGTCAAATCCATGAACACACACACACACACCAGGGGAATGCCGGCAAGCCCTGGGGGAACTGCGCAGCATTTTCCATCTGGGAATGTTGTTATAAGGGAATCTGTTCTCAGATCCAAAAGGGGCAACAGGAAGTGGAAGGGGCAGCAGGGGTGTTGCCAGGGCTGGACGTCATTGGTCGATCCTGGCAGTGACACTGAATTACTCTGGACCCTTTCTCAGTATCTCCCCTCATCTCTTAACAATTATATCTCCCCATGGTGTATTTTCACATGTGATATCCCCAAGGTATAGAAAGTATTTAGTTGGATAATTTTGTGACGGCACTAATGTCAAGAGGTGGTGGGTCATTCTCGTCATGTTTTGATGATGTGAGAAGAATGTTGCGGCCTCCACGATCATGTTTCAAACTGATGATCGGGAGTAATGTCAACAGACGTTTAACATTAGCTATTGAGGGAATCCAGTTGCATATATCCTTTCATTGCCCCCTTCTCTCCCCCTGCCCTCACACTGAGGTCATCAGCATCACCCCCATCTCCAAAACACAGCATTACTTAAGTCTGTATATACTGTATTATAGACTTAAGCTCTTACGTCATTCAAAACCCTGCCATTTTAAAAATGAAAGTTAGCTACAGTAGATGTGTTTGTACCTGTCATTTCAAAGTTCAGCCTCAGTCTCCGGTATTACCTGTACTATTGTACATACACAGTACACACGACTAATCCAGGGCAAGTTCATTCATCATTTCAAGTTCCCACCAGTCATACCTGTCAGATGAGTTTTTTTCTGTGTCATTAGCCTGTAACTCAGCCCCTGTAACTTCTCATTTTGAGATTCCAAGTGTCCCCCAAATGACACCCTATTTATAGTGCAGTGCTATTGGCCAGAACCCTGTGGGTCCTGTTAAAAAGTAGTGCACTGTAAAGGGAAAAGGGTGCCATTTGGGACACAACCTAGTCTGTTTTAATGGCCTACAGGACTGTCTTAATACTGTAGTCCACCTACAGGACTGTCTTAATACTGTAGTCCACCTACAGGACCGTCTTAATACTGTAGTCCACCTACACTGTCTTAATGCTGTAGTCCACCCGCAGGACCGTCTTAATACTGTAGTCCACCCGCTGGACCATCTTAATACTGTAGTCCACCCGCAGGACCGTCATAATACTGTATTCCATCCGTAGGACTATCTTAATACTGTAGTCCACCCGCTGGACCATCTTAATACTGTAGTCCACCCGCAGGACCGTCATAATACTGTTGTCCACCCGCAGGACCGTCATAATACTGTATTCCATCCGTAGGACTATCTTAATACTGTAGTCCACCCACAGGACTGTCATAATACTGTAGTCCACCTACAGGACTATCTTAGTACTGTAGTCCACCTACAGGACTGTCTTAATACTGTAGTCCACCCGCAGGACTGTCTTAATACTGTAGTCCACCTACAGGACCGTCATAATACTGTAGTCCACCCACAGGACTGTCATAATACTGTAGTCCACCTACAGGACTATCTTAGTACTGTAGTCCACCTACAGGACTGTCTTAATACTGTAGTCCACCTACAGGACTGTCTTAATACTGTAGTCCACCTACAGGACCGTCATAATACTGTAGTCCACCTACATGACTGTCTTAATACTGTAGTCCACCTACAGGACTGTCTTAATACTGTAGTCTACCTACAGGACTGTCTTAATACTGTAGTCCACCTACAGGACTGTCTTAATACTGTAGTCCACCTACAGGACTGTCTTAATACTGTAGTCCACCTACAGGACTGTCTTAATACTGTAGTCCACCTACAGGACTGTCTTAATACTGTAGTCCACCTACAGGACTGTCTTAATACTGTAGTCCACCCGCTGGACCATCTTAATACTGTAGTCCACCTACAGGACTGTCTTAATACTGTAGTCCACCTACAGGACTGTCTTAATACTGTAGTCCACCTACAGGGCTGTCTTAAAACTGTAGTCCACCCGCTGGACCATCTTAATACTGTAGTCCACCCGCAGGACCGTCATAATACTGTATTCCATCCGTAGGACTATCTTAATACTGTAGTCCACCCGCTGGACCATCTTAATACTGTAGTCCACCCGCAGGACCGTCATAATACTGTAGTCCACCCGCAGGACCGTCATAATACTGTATTCCATCCGTAGGACTATCTTAATACTGTAGTCCATCCATAGGACTGTCTTAATACTGTAGTCCACCTACAGGGCTGTCTTAAAACTGTAGTCCACCCATAGGACTGTCTTAATACTGTAGTCCACCTACAGGACTGTCTTAATACTGTAGTCCACCTACAGGACTGTCTTAATACTGTAGTCCACCAACACTGTCTTAATACTGTAGTCCACCCACAGGACCGTCTTAATGCTGTAGTCCACCCGCAGGACTGTCTTAATACTGTAGTCCACCTACAGGACTGTCTTAATACTGTAGTCCACCTACAGGACTGTCTTAATACTGTAGTCCACCTACAGGACTGTCTAATACTGTAGTCCACCTACAGGACTGTCTTAATACTGTAGTCCACCTACAGGACTGTCTTAATACTGTAGTCCACCTACAGGACTGTCTTAATACTGTAGTCCACCTACAGGACTGTCTTAATACTGTAGTCCACCTACAGGACTGTCTTAATACTGTAGTCCATCTACAGGACTGTCTTAATACTGTAGTCCACCCGCAGGACTGTCTTAATACTGTAGTCCACCCGCAGGACCGTCTTAATACTGTAGTCCACCTACAGGACTGTCTTAGTACTGTAGTCCATCTACAGGACTGTCTTAATACTGTAGTCCACCACAGGACTGTCTTAATACTGTAGTCCACCTACAGGACTGTCTTAATACTGTAGTCCACCTACAGGACTGTCTTAATACTGTAGTCCACCTACAGGACTGTCTTAATACTGTAGTCCACCTACAGGACTGTCTTAATACTGTAGTCCATCTACAGGACTGTCTTAATACTGTAGTCCACCCGCAGGACTGTCTTAATACTGTAGTCCACCTACAGGACTGTCTTAATACTGTAGTCCACCTACAGGACTGTCTTAATACTGTAGTCCACCTACAGGACTGTCTTAATACTGTAGTCCACCTACAGGACTGTCTTAATACTGTAGTCCACCTACAGGACTGTCTTAATACTGTAGTCCACCTCGGGACGTCTTAATACTGTAGTCCACCACGACTGTCACATCTAATACTGTAGTCCACCACGCAGGAGCCTGTCATTAATACTGTAGTCCACCTACAGGACTGTCTTAATACTGTAGTCCACCCTACGGCTGCTTAATACTGTAGTCCACCCCAGGACCGTCTTAATACTGTAGTCCACCGCAGGACTGTCTAATACTGTATTCCATCCGTAGGACTATCTTAATACTGTAGTCCACCTCAGGACCTTCTTAATACTGTAGTCCATCCGTAGGACTGTCTTAATACTGTAGTCCACCTACAGGGACTCTTAATACGTAGTCCACCCTGGCTATAATACTGTAGTCCACCCACAGGACTGTCTTAATACTGTAGTCCATCCTAGGACTGTCTTAATACTGTAGTCCACCTACAGGACTGTCTTAATACTGTAGTCCACCATGGACTGTCTTAATACTGTAGTCCACCCTACAGGACGTCTTAATACTGTAGTCCACACACGCACTAGAACTGTCTTAATACTGTAGTCCACCTACAGGACTGTCTTAATACTGTAGTCCACCTACAGGACTGTCTTAATACTGTAGTCCACTACAGGACTGTCTTAATACTGTAGTCCACCTACAGGACTGTCTTAATACTGTAGTCCACCTCAGGACTGTCTTAGTACTGTAGTCCACCTACAGGACTGTCTTAATACTGTAGTCCACCTACAGGACTGTCTTAATACTGTAGTCCACCTACAGGACTGTCTTAGTACTGTAGTCCACCTACAGGACTGTCTTAATACTGTAGTCCACCTACAGACTGTCTTAATACTGTAGTCCACCTACAGGACTGTCTTAGTACTGTAGTCCACCACAGGCTGTCTTAATACTGTAGTCCACCTACAGGACTGTCTTAATACTGTAGTCCACCTACAGGCCGTCTTAATACTGTAGTCCACCTACAGGACTGTCTTAATACTGTAGTCCACCTACAGGACTGTCTTAATACTGTAGTCCACCACAGGACCGTCTTAATACTGTAGTCCACCTACGACTGTCTTAATACTGTAGTCCACCTACAGGACTGTCTTAATACTGTAGTCCACCACAACTGTCTTAATACTGTAGTCCACCTACAGGCTGTCTTAATACTTAGTCCACCACACGTCTTAATACTGTATCCACCAAGACTGTCTTAATACTGTAGTCCACCTACAGGACTGTCTTAATACTGTAGTCCACCACACTGTCTTAATACTGTAGTCCACCACACGTCTTAATACTGTAGTCCATCTACAGGACTGTCTTAATACTGTAGTCCACCTACAGGACTGTCTTAATACTGTAGTCCACCAACACTGTCTTAATACTGTAGTCCACCTGCAGGACTGTCTTAATACTGTAGTCCACCTACAGGACCGTCTTAATACTGTAGTCCACCTACAGGACTGTCTTAATACTGTAGTCCACCTACAGGACTGTCTTAATACTGTAGTCCACCTACAGGACCGTCTTAATACTCTAGTCCACCTACAGGACTGTCTTAATACTGTAGTCCACCTACAGGACTGTCTTAATACTGTAGTCCACCTACAGGGCTGTCTTAAAACTGTAGTCCACCCGCTGGACCATCTTAATACTGTAGTCCACCCGCAGGACCGTCATAATACTGTATTCCATCCGTAGGACTATCTTAATACTGTAGTCCACCCGCTGGACCATCTTAATACTGTAGTCCACCCGCAGGACCGTCATAATACTGTTGTCCACCCGCAGGACCGTCATAATACTGTATTCCATCCGTAGGACTATCTTAATACTGTAGTCCACCTACAGGACTATCTTAATACTGTAGTCCATCCATAGGACTGTCTTAATACTGTAGTCCACCTACAGGGCTGTCTTAAAACTGTAGTCCACCCATAGGACTGTCTTAATACTGTAGTCCACCTACAGGACTGTCTTAATACTGTAGTCCACCTACAGGACTGTCTTAATACTGTAGTCCACCAACACTGTCTTAATACTGTAGTCCACCCACAGGACCGTCTTAATGCTGTAGTCCACCCGCAGGACTGTCTTAATACTGTAGTCCACCTACAGGACTGTCTTAATACTGTAGTCCACCAACACTGTCTTAATACTGTAGTCCATCTACAGGACTGTCTTAGTACTGTAGTCCACCTACAGGACTGTCTTAATACTGTAGTCCACCTACAGGACTGTCTTAGTACTGTAGTCCACCTACAGGACTGTCTTAGTACTGTAGTCCACCTACAGGACTGTCTTAATACTGTAGTCCACCTACAGGACTGTCTTAATACTGTAGTCCACCTACAGGACCGTCTTAATACTGTAGTCCACCAACACTGTCTTAATACTGTAGTCCACCTACAGGACTGTCTTAGTACTGTAGTCCACCCGCAGGGCCGTCTTAATACTGTAGTCCGCCTACAGGACTGTCTTAATACTGTAGTCCACCTACAGGACTGTCTTAATACTGTAGTCCACCTACAGGACTGTCTTAATACTGTAGTCCACCTACAGGACTGTCTTAATACTGTAGTCCACCTACAGGACCGTCTTAATACTGTAGTCCACCAACACTGTCTTAATACTGTAGTCCACCTACAGGACTGTCTTAATACTGTAGTCCACCAACACTGTCTTAATACTGTAGTCCACCCGCAGGACCGTCTTAATACTGTAGTCCATCTACAGGACTGTCTTAATACTGTAGTCCACCTACAGGGCTGTCTTAATACTGTAGTCCACCTACAGGACTGTCTTAATACTGTAGTCCACCTACAGGACCGTCTTAATACTGTAGTCCATCTACAGGACTGTCTTAATACTGTAGTCCACCTACAGGACTGTCTTAATACTGTAGTCCACCAACACTGTCTTAATACTGTAGTCCACCTACAGGACTGTCTTAGTACTGTAGTCCACCTACAGGACCGTCTTAATACTGTAGTCCACCTACAGGACTGTCTTAATACTGTAGTCCACCTACAGGACTGTCTTAATACTGTAGTCCATCTACAGGACTGTCTTAATACTGTAGTCCACCTACAGGACCGTCTTAATACTGTAGTCCATCTACAGGACTGTCTTAATACTGTAGTCCACCTACAGGACCGTCTTAATGCTGTAGTCCACCTACAGGACTGTCTTAATACTGTAGTCCACCAACACTGTCTTAATACTGTAGTCCATCTACAGGACTGTCGTAATACTGTAGTCCACCTACAGGACTGTCTTAATACTGTAGTCCACCTACAGGACTGTCTTAATACTGTAGTCCACCAACACTGTCTTAATACTGTAGTCCACCCGCAGGACCGTCTTAATACTGTAGTCCATCTACAGGACTGTCTTAATACTGTAGTCCATCTACAGGACTGTCTTAATACTGTAGTCCACCTACAGGACTGTCTTAATACTGTAGTCCACCTACAGGACTGTCTTAGTACTGTAGTCCACCTACAGGACCGTCTTAATACTGTAGTCCACCTACAGGACTGTCTTAATACTGTAGTCCACCTACAGGACTGTCTTAATACTGTAGTCCACCTACAGGACTGTCTTAATGCTGTAGTCCACCTACAGGACTGTCTTAATACTGTAGTCCACCCACAGGACTGTCTTAATACTGTAGTCCACCAACACTGTCTTAATACTGTAGTCCACCTACAGGACTGTCTTAATACTGTAGTCCACCTACAGGACTGTCTTAATACTGTAGTCCACCTACAGGACTGTCTTAATACTGTAGTCCACCCGCAGGGCTGTCTTAATACTGTAGTCCACCTACAGTACTGTCTTAATACTGTAGTCCACCTACAGGACTGTCTTAATACTGTAGTCCACCCGCAGGGCTGTCTTAATACTGTAGTCCACCTACAGTACTGTCTTAATACTGTAGTCCACCTACAGTACTGTCTTAATACTCTACTTTGTTTTGTTGGCCTCAGTCTTTCCCTTCCTTTATTTCTTTGTATTTTTTTCCCTCTTCACTTAGAATGCCACAAATCAGTCATAAACATTTCTTATGCTGGTGTTATTTCAACCGCATCCTGTGGCTTACATGCCGTTTTTGTCCGTTAGAGTTGTTGAACCACAACAGTGCACATGTGGACAACAATGATACCTCAAACATACTTTATCTCGCAGTGCAAGAATAATGTTTTTGTGTTTTTCTTTGGCCAAAAAGTTTTGGATTGAATAGGGCCCTTACTTGCTTATCTTCCCAGCATAGCCTACTACTGTATTTAATCAGAGAAGTTGTAAATCTCCTAGATATCAGGGCTTGCATAAAATTATTTTTCACAGCCTGAGCAATATCAGAGAGATACTTTCGGGTAGAGAATAACCAGCTCGGGTTTATTTGTGGTCCTCTGTAGCTCAGTTGGTAGAGCATGGCGCTTGTAACGCCAGGGTAGTGGGTTCGATCCCCTGGACCACCCATACGTAAAAATGTATGCACACATGACTGTAAGTCGCTTTTGATAAAAGCGTCTGCTAAATGGCATATTATTATTATTATTATTATTATTATTATTATTATTATTATTATTATTATTTAGTGATTTCAAATGCCACTGTTGTCGAAAACAGTGTGCAGCAAAGCGAATGGGAGAGGGATTGTGGCCATTTATGCAAAATATGATCCTTGCAAAACATTCCGCTCGTGTTTCCTGAAGACTCTTTGATCAACAGACCCAAGTGCTCTCTCCTTCTGAGGGGGAAATAGCTTTTTTTTTTGTTTGGAAGTGATCTCTCCTTCTGAGGGGAAAAGAAGGGTATGTTTGGAAGTCCAACCACTGAAATATTACCTTACGGCTTTTATTGACTGCTGTATTACATTTAAAGTGTGCTACCCCGTTTTACCTTGCCAAGAAAGTGACTTTTTTGTGGCTAATGTTCCACCACAGGATCCAATGATTACTGTCTTGAGATAATGTTTTGATCAGTAGTATAATTATCTATTTACACTGTATCGATATTCTGCTGTCCATCTGTCATCTCCGTAGGGATATTATTGTGTGTTCCCTGATCAACACAGCAGGTATGTCAATGACACCAGTATTTTGCGGCTAATTCTAACTAGTACTTATTGATAGTATCACAGACTCCTTGTTGTGGCCATGCAAGTTGGTTGCACTAAGGGCCAGATATACCAAGTGTTTATGGAACAGAGGTGGTTCAGCGAAACACGCTCTCGTGTGACGATGATGCTTGTAAGACACCTGTAAATCTCAGCTCCTAGACTTTAGTTAAGCAGGCTAACTCGGTGTTGTGGCGCACAAGATACCGGGATTTGAACCAAGATATTTGCACCTGTGCAAAGTTTGTACCGGTTTATGCTGAAATGAATAATAGGCAAAAGACAAAGACAAGACACTGGCTTCATTTTCTGTCAGCTAAACAGATCTGAAGTTTAAAAAAGACTAGTACCACAGAGGGATTAGCCTGTGCTCAAAATGTCCCATTTTACGATATTTATGCAACTTTAAATCAAGCAGTGAGACCATGTGAAACATTGATGGTATTGCAAGATGCAATACGTTTTATGTGATGTAGTGCTGTTCCGTTTTGTTTCTAATGTTGCAGTTATTTTGGGACAAATTTGTACTCTGCCAGGGCTGTTTAGCAGTGTCTGGCTGGTTTCTAGCTGGTGTGCGGAGGGTGTGCGTGTGCGCGTGTGTGTGTGTGTTGGTGTGTGTCCTTATGTGATGGTGTGTGAGCATGCGCGCCTTTGTGCGAGTCGTGTTGACAGGACCACCAGACAGATGTCCCCCTGCTGACACCTTGATTGAATTCCTTTCTATTGGTTTATTAGATAACCAGTCAGGGGCTATCAGCCGCATCTGGACCCACCACAATAATCTTCCTTGCTGTCAGAGGGACAAAGTCAGGACTCGGTCTGTGTCCAAAATAGGGAATCGGGTGCTATTTGGGATGCACCCCGTTTCCTCTCCAGATGGATATTAATTTAAGACGTACTGGGGTTGGACAGTTTGGGCCAGTTATTTTGACAACTGGCACCCGGACCCCATTGGTTGGTTCTGGTTTTTGGTCATGCCTAAGGTTTGGTATATGGTTAGAAACCAGGGTTACATTTTCATGTGAATTGACAGAATTTAATTTGTATATTCGTTTGGTCACAGTAAATAGTGGACAGGCTTCAGGTATATTTGGAAACCACTGATACTGTGTGTACAGTGTAATGTTATCTTATTCAGTGTGCCGTGTAGACCTATCTTATTCAGTGTGCCGTATAGACCTATCTTATTCAGTGTGCCGTGTAGACCTATCTTATTCAGTGTGCCGTGTAGACCTATCTTATTCAGTGTGCCGTATAGACCTATCTTATTCAGTGTGCCGTGTAGACCTATCTTATTCAGTGTGCCGTGTAGACCTATCTTATTCAGTGTGCCGTGTAGACCTATCTTATTATGTGTGCCGTGTAGACCTATCTTATTCAGTGTGCCGTGTAGACCTATCTTATTCAGTGTGCCGTGTAGACCTATCTTATTCTGTGTGCCGTATAGACCTATCTTATTCTGTGTGCCGTGTAGACCTATCTTATTCAGTGTGCCGTATAGACCTATCTTATTCAGTGTGCCATGTAGACCTATCTTATTCAGTGTGCCGTATAGACCTAACTTATTCAGTGTGCCGTGTAGACCTCTTTTTCAGTGAGCCGTATAGACCTATCTTATTCAGTGTGCCGTATAGACCTATCTTATTCTGTGTGCCGTATAGACCTATCTTATTCAGTGTGCCGTGTAGACCTATCTTATTCAGTGTGCCGTATAGACCTATCTTATTCAGTGTGCCGTGTAGACCTATCTTATTCAGTGTGCCGTGTAGACCTATCTTATTCAGTGTGCCGTGTAGACCTATCTTATTCTGTGTGCCGTATAGACCTATCTTATTCAGTTTGCCGTATAGACCTATCTTATTCAGTGTGCCGTATAGACCTATCTTATTCAGTGTGCCGTATAGACCTATCTTATTCAGTGTGCCGTGTAGACCTATCTTATTCAGTGTGCCGTATAGACCTATCTTATTCAGTGTGCCGTATAGACCTATCTTATTCAGTGTGCCGTGTAGACCTATCTTATTCAGTGTGCCGTGTAGACCTATCTTATTCTGTGTGCCGTGTAGACATATCTTATTCAGTGTGCCGTGTAGACCTATCTTATTCTGTGTGCCGTATAGACCTATCTTATTCAGTTTGCCGTATAGACCTATCTTATTCAGTGTGCCGTATAGACCTATCTTATTCTGTGTGCCGTATAGACCTCTTATTCAGTGAGCCGTGTAGACCTATCTTATTCAGTGTGTTGTATAGACCTATCTTATTCAGTGTGTTGTATAGACCTATCTTATTCAGTGTGCCGTGTAGACCTATTTTATTCAGTGAGCCGTGTAGACCTATCTTATTCAGTGTGCCGTGTAGACCTATCTTATTCAGTGTGCCGTGTAGACCTATCTTATTCAGTGTGCTGTGTAGACCTATCTTATTCAGTGTGCCGTATAGACCTATCTTATTCAGTGTGTTGTATAGACCTATCTTATTCAGTGTGCCGTGTAGACCTATCTTATTCAGTGTGTTGTATAGACCTATCTTATTCAGTGTGCCGTGTAGACCTATCTTATTCTGTGTGCCGTGTAGACCTATCTTATTCTGTGAGCCGTGTAGACCTATCTTATTCAGTGTGCCGTGTAGACCTAACTTATTCAGTGTGCCGTATAGACCTAACTTATTCAGTGTGCCGTATAGACCTAACTTATTCAGTGTGCCGTGTAGACCTCTTATTCAGTGTGCCGTGTAGACCTATCTTATTCAGTGTGCCGTGTAGACCTATCTTATTCAGTGTGCCGTATAGACCTAACTTATTCAGTGTGCCGTGTAGACCTATCTTATTCAGTGTGCCGTGTAGACCTATCTTATTCAGTGTGCCGTGTAGACCTATCTTATTCAGTGTGCCGTGTAGACCTATCTTATTCAGTGTGCCGTATAGACCTAACTTATTCAGTGTGCCGTGTAGACCTCTTATTCAGTGAGCCGTATAGACCTATCTTATTCAGTGTGCCGTGTAGACCTATCTTATTCAGTGTGCCGTGTAGACCTATCTTATTCAGTGTGCCGTGTAGACCTATCTTATTCAGTGTGCCGTGTAGACCTAACTTATTCTGTGTGCCGTATAGACCTATCTTATTCAGTGTGCCGTATAGACCTATCTTATTCAGTGTGCCGTGTAGACCTATCTTATTCAGTGTGCCGTGTAGACCTATCTTATTCAGTGTGCCGTATAGACCTAACTTATTCAGTGTGCCGTGTAGACCTCTTATTCAGTGAGCCGTATAGACCTATCTTATTCAGTGTGTTGTATAGACCTATCTTATTCAGTGTGCCGTATAGACCTATCTTATTCAGTGTGCCGTGTAGACCTAACTTATTCTGTGTGCCGTGTAGACCTATCTTATTCTGTGTGCCGTGTAGACCTGTAGACCTATCTTATTCTGTGTGCCGTGTAGACCTATCTTATTCAGTGTGCCGTGTAGACCTATCTTATTCAGTGTGTTGTATAGACCTATCTTATTCAGTGTGCCGTGTAGACCTAACTTATTCTGTGTGCCGTGTAGACCTATCTTATTCAGTGTGCCGTGTAGACCTGTAGACCTATCTTATTCTGTGTGCCGTGTAGACCTATCTTATTCAGTGTGCCGTGTAGACCTATCTTATTCAGTGTGCCGTGTAGACCTATCTTATTCTGTGTGCCGTATAGACCTATCTTATTCAGTGTGCCGTGTAGACCTAACTTATTCAGTGTGCCGTGTAGACCTATCTTATTCAGTGTGTTGTATAGACCTATCTTATTCAGTGTGCCGTGTAGACCTATCTCATTCAGTGTGCCGTGTAGACCTATCTTATTCTGTGTGCCGTATAGACCTATCTTATTCAGTGAGCCGTGTAGACCTATCTTATTCTGTGTGCCGTATTGACCTATCTTATTCAGTGTGCCGTGTAGACCTAACTTATTCAGTGTGCCGTGTAGACCTATCTTATTCAGTGTGTTGTATAGACCTATCTTATTCAGTGTGCCGTGTAGACCTATCTTATTCAGTGTGCTGTGTAGACCTATCTTATTCTGTGTGCCGTATAGACCTATCTTATTCAGTGTGCCGTGTAGACCTATCTTATTCAGTGTGCTGTGTAGACCTATCTTTTTCAGTTTGCCGTATAGACCTTTCTTATTCAGTGTGCCATGTAGACCTATCTTATTCAGTGTGCCGTGTAGACCTATCTTATTCTGTGTGCCGTATAGACCTATCTTATTCAGTGTGTTGTATAGACCTATCTTATTCAGTGTGCCGTGTAGACCTATCTTATTCAGTGTGCCGTGTAGACCTCTTATTCAGTGTGCCGTATAGACCTATCTTATTCAGTGTGCCGTGTAGACCTATCTTATTCAGTGTGCCATATAGACCTATCTTATTCAGTGTGCCGTGTAGACCCATCTTATTCAGTGTGCCGTGTAGACCTAACTTATTCAGTGTGCCGTGTAGACCTATCTTATTCAGTGTGTTGTATAGACCTATCTTATTCAGTGTGCCGTGTAGACCTATCTTATTCAGTGTGCTGTGTAGACCTATCTTATTCTGTGTGCCGTATAGACCTATCTTATTCAGTGTGCCGTGTAGACCTATCTTATTCAGTGTGCTGTGTAGACCTATCTTTTTCAGTTTGCCGTATAGACCTTTCTTATTCAGTGTGCCATGTAGACCTATCTTATTCAGTGTGCCGTGTAGACCTATCTTATTCTGTGTGCCGTATAGACCTATCTTATTCAGTGTGCCGTGTAGACCTATCTTATTCAGTGTGCCGTGTAGACCTATCTTATTCAGTGTGCCGTGTAGACCTATCTTATTCAGTGTGCCGTGTAGACCTATCTTATTCAGTGTGCCGTGTAGACCTCTTATTCAGTGTGCCGTGTAGACCTATCTTATTCAGTGTGTTGTATAGACCTATCTTATTCAGTGTGCCGTGTAGACCTATCTTATTCAGTGTGCCGTGTAGACCTCTTATTCAGTGTGCCGTATAGACCTATCTTATTCAGTGTGCCGTGTAGACCTATCTTATTCAGTGTGCCATATAGACCTATCTTATTCAGTGTGCCGTGTAGACCTAACTTAGGTCTACACGGCACACTGAATAAGATAGGTCTACACGGCACACAGAATAAGATAGGTCTACACGGCACACTGAATAAGATAGGTCTATACGGCACACTGAATAAGATAGGTCTACACGGCACACTGAATAAGATAGGTCTACACGGCACACATAATAAGATAGGTCTATACGGCACACTGAATAAGATAGGTCTACACGGCACACTGAATAAGATAGGTCTACACGGCACACAGAATATCTTATTCAGTGTGCCGTGTAGACCTATCTTATTCAGTGTGCCGTGTAGACCTATCTTATTCAGTGTGCCGTATAGACCTATCTTATTCAGTGTGCCGTGTAGACCTATCTTATTCTGTGTGCCGTGTAGACCTATCTTATTCAGTGTGCCGTGTAGACCCATCTTATTCAGTGTGCCGTGTAGACCTATCTTATTCAGTGTGCCGTGTAGACCTATCTTATTCAGTGTGTAGCATTCTGTTTAATGGTTTAATCTGTAGATGTACGTACCCATCCATCGCTTCTACGTCATGATGGCGTTTCAATTAGTGAAATCCTTCTCCGCACACCGTGACAGCACAGAAAAATAGGCACAACTGCCCGTTTGTAGCATTCCTTCACTGCCTCATCCACCGTTCCTCTCCAATTCCTTTTTCATTGAATCAAACCCAATCTAATTAAAAAATAAAGGTGAGCTTGAAATTATATAATATCATTTTTTTTTCTTTTTCTACCCAGTAATGAGTTGCCAATTTTCCCCTGGAAGGCTATCTTTAGGGAAGTCTTAAAATATATTTTCAGTAGTTTTCCATTGACAAACTAAATCTTCTCTATTGTTCAAAAAAATATGTATATATCGTATGTAAACATGCTAGTATACCATTCTATCCCACAGCATACAGATTAATCTTGGCTCATTCTTATGAAGTCGTGGGCGAGTGTGGTTGTTTATGTCGACAGCTAATGCGATGGCAAAGGTGCAAATAAACAGTCTCACTAATCAATCAGTCCATAAAGAAGGACTCTAATAGTCTCTTGTGTTCCTCGTCATTGATTTATCATCACCTTCACCAGTGTCATAAAACCTAGCATGCCTAAACTACACTCTGTCATCTACCAGTAAGGTCTGCATTCCAGGGATCAGTTCGATCAGAGGCAACTTCTCCTGGGTTAGAGACTAAATATATAATTACAGTGACATAAAATGAATATGTGACCTTAAGCGACATATAACTAATATGTCACTATGGGTGACATATACAGTTGAAGTCGGAGGTTTACATACACCTTAGCCAAACATGTGCTGTTGCAAACCTTAGTCTGTCTTTTTTATGGCGGTTTAGGAGAAGTGGCTTCTTCCTTGCTGAGCGGCCTTTCAGGTTATGTCGATATAGGACTAGTTTTACTGTGGATATAGATACTTTTGTACCTGTTTCCTCCAGCATCTTCACAAGGTCCTTTGCTGTTGTTCTGGGATTGATTTGCACCAAAGTACGTTAATCTCTAGGAGACAGAACAAGTCTCCTTCCTGAGCGGTATGTTGGCTGCGTGGTCCAATGGTGTTTATACTTGCGTACTATTGTTTGTACAGATGAACGTGGTCCCTTCAGGCATTTGGAAATTGCTCCCAAGGATGAACCAGACTTGTGGAGGTCTACAATTTTCTTTCTGAGGTCTTGGCTGATTTCTTTTGATTTTCCCATGATGTCAAGCAAAGAGGCACTGAGTTTGAAGGTAGGCCTTGAAATACATCCACAGGTACACCTCCAATTGACTCAAATGATGTCAATGAGCCTATCAGGAGCTTCTAAAGCCATTACATCATTTTCTGGAATTTTCCAAGCTGTTTAAAGGCACACTCAACTTAGTGTATGTAAACTTCTGACCCACTGGAATTGTGATACAGTGAATTATAAGTGAAATAATCTGTCTGTAAACAATTGTTGGAAAAATTACTTGCGTCATGCACAAAGTAGATGTCCTAACCGACTTGCCAAAACTATAGTTTGTTAACAAGAAATTAGTGGAGTGGTTGAAAAACTAGTTTTAATGACTCCAACCTAAGTGTATGTAAACTTCCGACTTCAACTGTAACTACTATGGTTATATATAAACATTGTGACATATTTCTAATGAAATACAGTATGTCTGGCTAATTCGCTAAATGATTCTGTCCGTTCATTTGATTTATTCAGCGTTGCTAAAATGTAAATGAATAAAACAAAGACAAAACTTTTACAGGATCCTATCCTGTTTATATTGTTAATCGTTCCATTGGTTTATGAAAAGCACATACAGTGCCTTGCAAAAGTATTCAGACCCCTTGGATTTCTTCACATTTTATTGTGTTACAAAGTGGGATTAAAATTGATTTAATTGTACTTTTTTGTCAACCATCTACACAAAATACTCTGTAATGTCAAAGTGGAAGATTCTTTATTTGTATTTTTAAGATTAATAAAAATGCAATAAATAAAATATAGCTGTTGCATAAGTATTCAGCTCCCTGAGTCCATACATGTTCGTAACACCTGTGGCAGTGATTACAGCTGTGAGTCTTTCTGGGTAAGTCTCGAAGAGCTTTCCACACCTGGATTGTGCAATATTTGCCTATTATTATTTTCATAATTCTTCAAGCTCTGTTAAGATGTTTGGGATCATGGCTTGACAGCAATGTTCAAGTCTTGCCATATTATTTCAAGCAAATTTAAGTCAAAACTGTAACTTGGCCATTTACAAACATTTACGGTCTTCTTGGTAAGCAACTCCAGTGTAGATTTGGCCTTGTGTTTTAGGTTATTGTCCTTCTGAAAGGTGAAATTCCTCTCCCAGTGTCTGGTGTAAAGCAGACTGAAGCAGGTTTTTTTCTAGGATTTTGCCTGTGCTTAGCCCTATCTCGTTTCTTTTTATCCTGAACAACTCCCCAGTATTTGCTGATTTCAAGCATACCAATAACATGATGCAGCCACCACCATGCTTGAAAAGAAGGAGGCAGTTACTCAGTGATGTGTTGTGCTGAATTTGCCCCATGTTTTTGCAGTATTACTTTAGTGCCTTGTTCCATACAAGATGCATGTTTTGGAATAATCACTGCCCTTTATGAGGCTTTCGAAAAGCTCCCTGGTCTTTGTAGTTGAATCTGTGCTTGAAATTCAATTCTTGACTGAGAGCCTTACAGATGTTATATGTATGAGGACAGAGGAAGGGTTAGTCATTCCACACAGAGTGAGTCAATGTAACTTTTTATGTGATTTGTTAAGACAAATTTTACTCCTGTACTAATTTAGGCTTGCCTTAACAAAGGGAAAGAATACTTATGCAACGACTATTATGAATCAGTTTTTTTAAAGTGCATTTTTCTTCAACTTTGACATTACAGAGTATTTTGTTGACAAAAAAAATGACAATTTAATTCCACTTTGTAACACAATACAATTCAAGGGGTCTGAATGATTTTGCATGGCGCTATAGATAACCATACTGTAGGTACACAATTATTCAATGTGTCAATCAATACAGTGTCAGCCTTGGTAGAACATAGGTTAAGTTGTGGCTTAAGAAGCTTGTAAATGTCACATCATTCTCTACAACCTGTCCAACCAAAATGTATCTTGCATGTAAATCCTTTTGAATTTGAACCACGATTTGGGCCATGAGGTGACGTTTCTCTGGCTAGACGCTGATGGTGTCTCTCTCCCCCTTTCATCAGATCGGTTTAGGAAATTAAACCGGCTCTGTCGCAGCCGGCCGCGACCGGGAGACTCATGGGCAGCGCACAATTGGCCTAGCGTTGTCCAGGGTAGGGGAGGGAATGGCCGGCAGGGATGTAGCTCAGTTGATAGAGCATGGCGTTTGCAACGCCAGGGTTGTGGGTTCGATTCCCACGGGGGACCAGTATGAAAAAAAAATAAAAAAAGGTGTTCACCAACTGTAAGTCGCTCTGGATAAGAGCGTCTGCTAAATGACTAAAATGTAAATGTAGTAACATCTAGAGATACTCTGGCAGACAGGCACCTTTTCAGCTTCTCCACCACAGCACAAGCAACTGCAAATAGAAGCCTATGGGAATTTCCAATCAAGTCCTGAGCTAGTGAGTGAGCGAGCAGCAACCGGGTGTCAGAATGCCAGTTGTTGTGGTGACTGGAATGGGGCTCAGGTGGTTTGGCTCATTGCAGGGCTATAGAGGTCGGATAGAGAGTTCATTAAAAAGTGAAAAATAACACACACCTTACCATACTGGCTTTGTGGTGCTACAAACATAAAAACTCAGTTTTTAGTTCCTCATATAACAATAGTGTTTTGTTTAATTCTAGGTTTTTAGCACAGCTCTTTTACTAACTGAAGATAGGCCTATAAGGCACATTGTCAGGTGGCATGATTTGTTTTCAAAGCTAAGTAACATCAAACAAATTATTTTTGGGGGATGAACTCTACAAACTTGTGTTATTCCTGGAAATGTTCTGTAGCCTACTAACCAGAAGTTGATTGATCCCCACTGTCATTTTGAATTAGAGATGTGAAAAGTTCATAAAGTGGAAAAGCATTTAACATTTTAAATCTGCATAATGAAATAATGATATCAGAAGCATGGGGTCTGGAAAAGGACATTAAGAACTTGAACTCATAGTCCTTCAGATATGGTTTCCAATGTCATGTCTGCCCAAAATAACCTTTGACGTTGTGTATTGTCCTTTAACTCTGTGTTACACATGAGAAAGCATACAGAGCCTTTTTGGTCTCATCAACCTTCAGTCTTTCAGCTATCATCAAACTTCAGTCTTTCAGCTATCATCAACCTTC